ATTATTATTATTATTATTATTATTATTATTATTATTATTATTATTATTATTATTATTATTATTGTTGTTGTTACTGTTTATTATTATTATTATTATTATTATTATTATTATTATTATTATTATTATTATTATTATTATTATTATTTATATTATATTATCTAGGCCTAGCCTAGGTAGGGCCTATATATTCTCGCCCCGGCGTAATTTCACGTGTCTCCTTTGAAACCACTGGCAGGAATGTACTCATATCTTATACACTGGGGTTTCTATGTCATGACTACATTCAGCTACTTTTCAATACTGGATATTGGATAACAACGAAAAAATCAGCCAAAAACCACCGAAATGAGTACCCTTTTCGCCTTGTTTCGCGAGTTGCTTACGTCCACATAAATAAATTCCCTCTCTTAATCTGTACCGCAGTGCTCAGATTAAAAAAATGTCGTGTCAGCCCGTAAAAGAAACAGTCTGTCCATTACGTCACCACGCATGCCTCGCGTCACGTCAACAGCATGCGTTCCTGTATCTGCTTCTATAATAACGACTAGGCCTAGTGTAGGCCTCCTGGGCCTGGGCCTTTATGCCATAAACACATCAGCATTAAATGGCATGTTTTAGAAATCGATCAGGTAAACATAAACGTAGGCCTGGGCACAATTAGGCATGATAATAAAAGCTAGGCCAAGGCCTAACTAATAATTTCGGCTAGGCCCGGTCCTAGCATAGGAAGACTAGCCTACCATACCAATATCATTCATAGACCAATTTTAATATGCTTTTCTTTTTCCATCTTATTTCAGAGGTCAAAAACATTTTTTAATTTTTTTCAATCATATATAGTGGTGTAGACTAGTTTTTAAAGAACATTTTGCTGGAAAAATGTTTTTGGATACGACGCTCCGTTATGGAGTTATGATTTTTTTTAAATAACATGATGTCAGAAAATCAGCCCAAAAGCTTATCTTATTTCTGTTGGTTACGCACCGCTGATTCGCAATGTTTGTCATTTAATTTTAAGATGTCTACCGATTCGTGGAAAAGGCCTCAACACCTCAAATTTACGTCAACACGTCTGATCAACAGGGTGGATCCAGTAATGGAGTCAACACGTGCCTCCCCGTTTTGCCACTAAATTGTTGACATTTCGTCGGATCAACAGGGGATCCAGTATGGAGGGTGGAGTGTTTGGCATGTGGCTTGCATAGGCCTATTATTAAGTGCTACTCACTTATCCATTCTAAAACTGTTGTCTCCCCCCCCCCCCCGTTAGAAAAATTCTGGATACTCCCTTCGTCAAACAATATTGGCCAATATTAATAATTCCACACACACAAGGACTATCCAGCAAAGACACTCATCTACAAAGACATCCTTTAAAAAAATAGTAACATTCTAACCATAACATCCACAACGATTGCCTCTTCGATTTCCTTCCCATTACATTCAACAATATACATCGCTACCTTTCGCCACTCATTCAACACCGTGCGGAGCACGGGTATATGCTAGTTATTATTATTATTATTGTTTATTATTATTATTATTCTATATCAGGAAAGGATTGCAAAATCGCACGGGTCTCAATGCGGCTTCTGTACCCCTGGTATTGTGATGTCCATGTACACCCTTCTGAGAAACAACCATCAGCCAACAATGTCAGACATTGAGGATGCTTTTCAAGGCAATCTCTGTCGATGTACTGGATATCGGCCGATCTTAGAAGGATTTCGAACATTTACGAAGGTACATTACCATAATTAATCAAAATGAACTTTTATATTTCTGTATTGTTGCCTCTAGGGTATGAATATCAATTCTGTATTCTATTATACCATTATAAATTTGTTAAATAGATTCAGCCCATATATAACAAATAATCTGAGATTACAAACCCTCGCCCTGCTGTCACACCATATCTTTGTATCCGTTGGTATATGTACAGGTATTAATGGCTATTTTCCGTTGCTGCTCCAAAGGTGTGGAATAGCTTGCCTATCTTTGTTTGTGAGTCTCCTTCTGTTGAGATATTTAAAAATCGTCTCAAGACTCATCTCTTTAGTTTAGTTTAATTTGCAAATTTCTAGCGCATAGAGACCTATGTATTTTGCGCTTTACAAATCCAAATTATTATTATTATATGTATCAGGTGAAATGTGGCTGAGCGGTAAAGATGCATGTTTTGTATGTAAAGATAATCAAATGTGTGGGGATCAGATCTCACTCTTGTTTGGTTTTTTTTTTTATTATTATTATTTTGTTATTTGTGCATATATTTTAAACATTTAAAAAAAATTATGAAAGCTAAGATGCACAAATAATAATAATTAAAAAAAATGAAATAATAAAGTGAGATTTGAGCCCCATACATTCGATTATGTTATTATTGTCATTATTATTACTGTTGTTATTTTTCAAAGTTAAATACAGATACCTTTGGAGCATTATTATTTTTATTATTATTATTGTTATTATTATTGTTATTATTATTATTATTATTATTATCTCCGCCAGGTTTTCAGACGTGTAAATTTGTGTGTGTGTGTGTGTGCGTGTAATATTATCGCATTTTGCGTGATTTTTTGTGTGTGACATATCTCAAAAACGGCATCACAGGCATAATACAAAAAAAAAGTGTTAGACATAACCCAATGAAGGAATAATTAAATTTTGGTGATGGTCCGGAGTAGGGTGTGGATATGAGAACCAATTAAAGGATTTTAGAGCAAATGTTTTAGACAAGATATTTCAAAAACTAATCAACTGATATGAAAAAAAAAAAAAAAAAGGCAAGAGTGAGATATGAACCCCCATACGTTTGATTATCTTTACACACAAAACATGCATCTTTACCACTGGCTACATTTCACCTGATATCTATAGCTCGTAATGTTATACCGCTACAATACAACAGCAACCAACGGATACAGAAATATGGCGCGACAGCAGGGTGAGGGTTTGCTTTTTTCAGATTATCTATTATTTGTGCATCTTATAAAATATTTTTTTTCATATTTCATTATAAGATTTAAAAAAAAATTGGGACAACAGTTAAGAAACATCAATTCTACATCTTACTTCTCTAATCCATCAGCCAAAACGAAGCCTAGCATAGGCCTCAAGTAGCAAGCCCATCAGTCGGGCTTACATGCCTTCTGGGCTGCCTCCAGTCCGCTGGCCAGAATTTGACACGCGGTCGGTATGCTTGAGTCGGTCCGTGGTCAATCTGCTCGAGTCAACATTGCCTAGCCAAATACATACAGTTAAGGTTATATGTAATATTACCTTAAATTTAAACATTAAATGTGTGTCAAATGTCAACATGGATTTACGGAAGTTATTAAATTCCTGATTGCAGTACTCACTATCCAGGCATGTTTGTTCGTTTTATCGGCAGTGTTTCTACCATTATTTGATAGGCCTATAACTCGTTTACTCTCTAGTATGTAAACGTTTCGATAAAAGAACAATATGACCAGTAAAAGAAGATAGGTTGAATGTTGCATGTTATCTCGTTCAGTTATTTTCTTCACGTAATGTCAGAAATGTAAGATAATTTATATTGGGACAGTTAGGACAGTACATTTTTCTATTGGGTCCACAAAGAGTGGGTCCACATTTTAAAAATATTTTGAGTAAAATGGGTAAATTTTTAAGAAAATGTGTCCAGATTATTCATATTTTGCGTAAAATGGGACAACTTTTAAGAAGATGGGTCCACATTATTTGAATTTACGCTTAAAGTGGGCCAACCTGATATTGTCCCACACTGTTTAAAAATCCTGGCTGCGGCATTGTGTGCTTGCTAACGGACTGTGCCTGAAAACCATGTGTGCTTGAAAATTGACAAGTTTGAAAGTTGCCCTTTTGGCATTCCTTATAAAACTGCAAAATAGCTGACTTAGACGTGGCTAGGGAATGTGGAAGTACGTACGTAAACAGTAACATGTGGTCAGGAACAGCTAACGATCCAGTGAAAAACGACAAAAAAAGTAATTATTTTAATCTGAATGGATTATTATTCACTTCAGGAGGTCAAGATTTCAGGAGGTCAAAAATCTCAGACGTTTATTGGGGACCTCGGTTTTGCGTTGTGATCTTAGGCTTTGAAATAAGTGTAATTATAATATAGATAATACTGTAGGAAGCAATATTATGTGTGCCTCACATTAAGCAATTTAATAATGGTGTGGCCATATCAATCACTGTACTTTTTTCAGAAGTTTGAAACTGATGCAAGAATTGTGAATAATATGTGCAGTAGTGGAACAAGATGCTGTAGATTTGAGAACGGAATCAATGGGGTAAGTTAATGCAGAGAATGTTATTTGGAACATAAACTTAAATCGATCTTCACATTATTGTTCATTTGTAAGAGCACTGTTTCTACCATTATTTGCTATAGTAATAGTAAAAGTAATCAATATTATGTGTGCCCCACATTAAGTAATTTAATAACTATATGGTTTTATCAATTACTGTACTTTTTTCAGATGTCTGACTTTGAAACTGATGTTGTAGGTTTAAGTTATAATGCAGAGAATGTTGTTATTTAGAACATAACTTGGATGCGAGCTTCATATTATTGTTCCTTAATATGAGCACTGGTTTCTACCATTATTTGATATAAAAATAGGAAGCAATATTATGTGTGCCTCACATTAAGTGATTTTAATAACGATTTGGCTCTAACAATTACTCTACTTTTTTCAGACGTCTGACTTTGAAACTGATACAGAAAATTTGAAGAATGTGTGCAATAGTGGAACAAAATGCTGCAGGTTTGAGAACAGTATCAATGGGGTAAGTTATATGCAGAGAAGGGAGCTTTTGATTTGTACGACGACGCAACGCTAGAACGGAATCACTCATGCGTGACCGTCCTACCTGGGGTCTACGTTCTCTGCATACGTAGATTTGTCTAAATTGCGTTCCAGAATCTACTCAACGAGGTGTCCTTAACGTTCTCACATGCGCAGATGACTTTTAGTGACGTCATTACGTTCTACATCCTACCGTCGTCGTGCAATCAGAATCTCCCTAGTGTTGTTATTTAGAACAAAAACCTAATTTAATCGTTGGCCAGTTATATGTATAAGACACTTGGTGAAATTCGTCTTGAGATTTAATGAACCTCATATTTTTCTTGTTGCTTTGTACCATCACACGATCACGAGAAAAATGCATCGCAATAATAATTTGTAAAAATATTGTTTGTACAATACTGTTTGATTGATTTTATTTTTAGATATCCACAACGCTTTTCCAGCCTTCGGACTTCACCGAATACGATCCGACTACGGAAATAATTTTTCCTCCTGAGCTTATTTTGGTAAACATTCACTCTAAACTGTACTATAGGTCTGTTTATTTTGGTCGACAAATACTTTTAAATGTTTTGTTGTTGGTGTAGTCTTTTACCTATTGAATTAAAATTTGATTTACTGTAAGTCTCTATATTCTTATGATAAACCATTATTTTTTTTTTCATTTATCTAGATGCTTGAAAATGAAAAACCGAAGATTCTAAGATTTACTGGCGATGATGTGACTTGGTTGAGACCTGTCAATCTCTGCCAACTTGTTGATATTAGAAGGCAGTTTCCGAATTCAAAACTGGTTTTAGGAAATACAGAAGTTGGTAAGTAGACATAACTAAAAATATGATGACAAAGGTAGTAGCAATTATTTATATTACTGTATAATTTATTTTATTATTTTAAATTTAATACCACTTTTTATATATTCTATTAATATTTTGTATTATTTATTCACTACATTATATACATAATTATAATTTTATCAAAATAATTCCCAGTTAAAAGTAATAGTAAAACATTTGTTTACTTACTATACAAAACATAGTTTCCAATCTGTATTGTTGTCTATGTTCTTACGTTTAGGAGTCGACGTGAAGCTGAAGAAAATGAGCTACCCCATATTAGTTTCACTTTCCCACATTACTGAGTTGAATATTATTGAATCATGCGATGGTGGTGTCAAAATAGGAGCAACAGTGACCCTGTCAAGAATTGAGGAATTTTTGATTAATGTCATGAAGAAGCTTCCGGGTATGTATCTAGAAATAGTTCAGCATTTGCTGTTTTAATGTTAAATTAAATTGACGTCAAACACTAGCCTACATGGCCAGCAAATACGAGAGATACATGTGGATTTGTGCTCTATCACAGTGAATATGATAGATAACAAATGTTTCACTTTAATTGCCATGAATACTGACTCAAACTTATTTATGAAACTTAAAATACTTAAACATTTGTCTCATTTAATTAAATTTTATTTTACAGATTACAAATGTAAATCGTTTTCCGCGCTTATTGATATGCTTCATTGGTTTGGTGGTCAGCAAATACGGAATGTCGCCGTAAGTTTATTAACTATGGAAATGAATAGATTTTATGTACACTATGTAATTCATTGTTCATATAGCGTATATATGCTGTTAGGTCTTTATCACATTTCATTTTACTATTAGTAAATTTTGCATATAAGACTGTCTGCTTGTTCACAACATTTATTTATTTTTTTTGTTTCTGTCTTTTGTGTGATGACACTTTCAGTGACGTAGCACTGGTATCACAAGTAAAAAGAAGAAAAGAGAACCAAAATGAAAAAAAAAATTAAACTTAAAACAAAACTAATGAGTAAAAGAAAAACAATATGTACATAAATATAAAACTACTGCATCGAAAACAAAATAGCTTAAAACTAACAACAAAATTGAAAAAGGAAAAGGCAAAAAGGAAAGTCAGTAAAAGTTTGATTTAATATTTTGTCTAGAAGAGAGTAAATAGAGTTAAATTATATATTGTTTAAATGATTTTTAAAAGACTAGGGAAAGTTCATTAAATATTATTTTAATTTCATTTGAAAGGCTGTTCCATGCTTTAGTTGCACAATATAAAAATGTCCTTTCGCCTTGTACCTGATTCCATTTTTGTTCAATAAAGTCATTAAGGGTGATGATTGTTGTTAAAGATAAATTTATTACATAAATAAGATGGGGCCTTTTCTTGTAGACATTTGAAAGTTAATAATGGAGGATGTTCATTCCATCTGTTGACCAATCTTTTCCATCCCAACTCATTCATGATTGTAAGAATTGAGTATATATGTGTTTTAATTTATATTATTTTTAAAAATTATATGAATGTATATACTTTTTAGCTGTTGCTTATCATTTTTGTATCTCTACTGAGATCCAGCCATTGTTTCCCACAGCATTGTTGTTTTCCAGTATTTTGCCTTTTAATCTATATATATATATATATATATTGAGTATATATATTGAGTATATATATATATATTGAGTATATATATATGTATATAAGTATATATATATATATATATATAAGTACAGTATGTATAATACTGTAAAGCTGCATGATGTATATACGGTCACCTTTTACCAATTTCTCTAAACTGTTCTTCTAGTCTATTGGTGGAAATATAATTACCGGAAGTCCTATATCTGATTTGAATCCGATATTTATGGCGGCTGGATGCACTCTTGAGGTTGTCGACACAGAAGGTAATGTAAACCACAAGGGCGTAGCCAGGATTTATGAGAGAGCGGTAGATTATGAATTTGTCTTTAAAATTGTTAATTTGCCTCTTTCCATTTTAATTCATTCTTCTCCTTAGTACTTAGTATAGATTGCTGATGAAATAAAAAAAGGGACGTTGAGGGACTACTATAACAAACAACAAGGTTGTCCCAGTATGGAAATTACGCCCCTGAAATAAACATACCAGAATATATAACGACCTTAACAATTAGAAGATTTCATTTGAATGTTATCTTGTATTTGCTTGATTTTTCTTGTCTTTCTACAGGAGTTCGACGAATAATGCCAATTGCAAATAACTTCTTCACTGGTTATCGGAAAAATGCAATGAAGCTCAGTGAGACTCTTATATCAATCACTGTTCCATACACAAATAAGGTGAATTTTGACAACTGGCTGATTTTAAACTTTATTCTAAAATGATCAGTTGTTTACGAATAAAATGCCGTAATCATAGAATTATGTAATAATCATAGTATGTATCCAGCTAGTAATTCAAGTATTTCAAAGCATAGGTCTTTTGTTATGCTCAAGCTTTATATGGTAGTATCTCATTTAACTGATGTTCTGAATTATAACTTTTTTGTTTGCAATTGGATTAAAGTCTGAGCATTTCAAAGCATATAAGCAAGCCCATCGCCGGGATGACGACATAGCTATAGTGAATGCTGCTTTCAGGGTGGACTTACAAGATGACGTCATCAAGAGCTGTTCAATGGCATTTGGTGGAATGGCGCCCACAACAAAATTGGCAAAGAAGACGATGAACAAGATTATTGGAAGGTAAATTGATGTCAACCCTGCTGTAATTGTTTTCCATTTAATGTTGTAATGTTTATCTTAGAAGCAGTATATCAATTAGGCCTTTATTTTCTCAAAATTGTGTAAATTCGCCTTTATTTGGTCACTACGTGAGGGTTTACATTTTAAAAAAAAGTTTTATTGTACTATTTTTGTGATTGTATCTTTTTTTTATGTCTCTTAGTTTGGATACATGAGTCACAATATAATATAGACCTAATCAAACCAAAAACTGAAGGAAAATCTGACACTATATTACAGTACATATTTAATGGTATAAACTTAACTACTCAATCTATATTCCATTTTCATTTTTAGAATTTGGGACCAATCTCTACTAGAGCATGTCACCGTACTCCTTACCGATGAGATGTCCCTTTCACCCGATGCGCCCGGAGGGATGGTGGAGTACAGACAGTCACTCGTACTCAGTTTCTTTTTCAAGTTTTACCTGACTGTGAGACAACACTGCACGCATCACGAGGTATTGGCGTAGTTTACCGAACATTACTACATTTGAAGAGTAGTTCTCGATTGGACTAGACTTGATTAATATGCATATTTTTCTACCTTTGCAGAATAAATTATTTAATGTACATCCAGCCGACATGTCAGCAACACTCCCCTTTAAACGAGCCGATGTACGCAGCAGTCAGATGTTTCAGGTGAGCAGCTAAACTTTTGATATATAACAAAATGCGATGTAGTTTTTTAATATTACTGGTATATTATTATAGTTAAATAGGCCTATATTATTGTTCCCAAAATTCGTCTAATTATGATTGTAGCACAGTTCAATCTAATCTGATATGGTAAAATAGTTTTAAGTATGTCGTTTCTTATACATCCAACAGCAAGTACACTTACTAGGCCCTACATCTCTTTATGGCACTGATTGAGTTGAATTTTTTTTTAGTTTTAGCCATGAGAAAAAAACCCAGAGATTTGAACTGTGGAAACTGAGACTGGAAGCAAGCATCTTAACACTAAGCTATGGCTCATCTATAAAGTTACAGCTCCACTTAGTTTACTAATACTGTACTATATTTAATAGATTTATTTATTTAATTTCCCAGGAGATTAGTGATGATTCATCCTCTGTTGATCCTGTTGGTTGTCCAATTGTTCATTCATCGGCCTACCAGCAGGCTACTGGAGAGGCTGTTTACGTCGACGATATGGTTCCATTTCAAAGTAAGCCACTGAAGCTCCACACAAGCATTCATTTTGTATGTCTTATTGAAAACATTGGCCCAGAGTCTAGCTGATATTTGATAAAACCCTATTGGTGTTCTAAACTGAACCGATAGTCCTTTCCTGGACGTTTAACATAGCACATTTATAATACAGCACATTTACTCAATTCAAAATATATTTTTTTCAGATGAACTTTACATGGCCATTGTATACAGTCAGAAAGCACATGCAGTAATAAAGTAAGTGTGACTCCTGTGTGGGCTTTTTAAGATTCGTAGTTTTTATCCATATGACCTGGTTAAATAATACATTGTTTCTTATTTTAATGCTGATTGACTGTCCGGTGGTTTATCAGACCACTTGGTATTGCAGTAGTATACTATATCTTGATTTATTTTCAATATTTACTATAATTTCTGCCACTACTTTCCAATGTTATCTGGGTTACTTCATTTTATAACACACCATAGATCCTTGTCATTCGATTGGTGGATTAAATATCACGTGACATGGGCTATTTACACCATTTCGTCACTCATCATGAAAATTTAATTCCATCCGTGCATTTTTTGTTCCATTTGTTTTCTCCCATTGCATGCCTCCACCTATGCAATGTTTTCATTTTTTCATAAAATATCAAATGACAAGGATCCATTTTAGGCGTGTTATAAAACGAATAATGCAAGTTTGTTATTTATGCAATCGAAAGAATATTTCCATTCTTTGAAATATTGACTGTTTCATTCAAATCAGCTTCATCTCGTTGGATGAAACAGTCAACCTTTCACTCACAAAAATGTTTTTGTCATTGCTCACATAAACATTCATTATTTGTGTAATGTAAGGGGTGATATCGTTGGATAGAAAATAACAACAGGCTTCTGTGGTCTGGTGGTATGACACTCGCTTAGGAATATCAACGTAACTGTTATACTGTCAAAATATTTGTTAAAATATATTATTTTTAATTTAATTGAATTTTCTTATGCTTCAAATGCCATCAAGGGCCAATATCCGCTAGAATAACATCCACAGATATATAGGGCCTCAATAAATTTGGGGAATGTTGAAAGGAGGAGGAGGTTAGTAGAAGGATGAAAATTTTAGTTGTTGAAAATGTTTTTGATGGGAACGTGAAAAATCATTGTTACGATGCAATAACAACATATGACATTATATATGAATGATCTGTTAGATGTGTTGATGCTACTGCAGCGTTGAGCATGCCTGGTGTACATGCATTTGTTGACCACAATGACGTCACAGGAACTAACTTTATTGGTGAATTAGTGCCAGATGACGAAGTGTTCGCTACAGATATGGTATCAACATTTTAAAAATTTTTCTTTTTATGTATTTCCACTCAACGTATATGCTATCATCCATTATACTCTACAATTAGTATGAAATTTACTTTAGGCTTATTTGGAAATCATATCGCATTTTCATCAAGTCATCAAGTAATGGCAATTAAATATAGATATAATATTATTTCATTATCCAAAAATGACAGCATTGCCTGTATTAATTATTAATCAAGCTTATACAAAAAATCTTCTTCCAGGTCACTTGTGTCGGTCAATACATCGGAGGAATCGTAGCAGACAGTAAGGAGATAGCGCAACGAGCAGCCAGAATGGTTCGTGTGGAATATCAAGAATTGGAACCAATCATATCCATTGAAGTGAGTGCCAAAGGTCTGATCTTTTATATATAAGAGGGTGAGTTAGCGCAGTGGTACGAGAATTGACTGTGTGCAAGACGGATCGAGCTCGAGTCCTGCCAATGTTGTACTTGATTGTTGGTTTAGTTTGTTCTAATTGTCTCCTCTTTTGGAAGTACCGTGTGTATAGTAACACAAAATCTGCTTTTCTGATACTGGTGGTTAGGCCTTGTGATGGTATAGCTCTGAAATTAGACGTGTAATAAACGCAACATGTGTTGAGAAAAGTATAAAGGTCGCAGCTTTACAATGTTGAAAGATTGCTGTATTATATTTATCTCAAGGCTAAACGTGTATAGGACATTGGCCTATATGACAAAGGGCATTGTATGATATCATCATGAGCAAGATGTTTTAGAATTTTTTTATTATTAAAAACAAGTGTACAAAATATATAATTTTGATACTTGCAGGATGCCATTGCAAAAGAAAGTTACTTTCAGCCAATCAAAAATCTGGAAAATGGCAACATGACGGATGGTTTTAATAAATCAGACCAGATAATTGAAGGCGAAATGAAAGTTGGTGAACAGGAGCACTTTTACTTGGAAACACAATGTGGATTAGCCGTACCAAAAGGAGGAGATGATGCCATGGAAATGTTTTTTGCATGTCAGGATCTAAAACTTCTTCAGGTTGGCTATTTGGAATACGTTGTTTGTTTGGTGCATGTCAAAGTATATATAAAGTTACATTGCGATAAGCTTGAACATTGTATAACAATGAGCCTATAAGTGTTATTTTTTAAGAATAATGCAGACATTACATAAAAATGATGTAATTTTAATTGTCTTTTTTTGTTACAAAAGGTTATTCTTCCGATGAATTGCTGAGTTTATTATTTTAAATTTCTTTGTCCATCTTATCCATCCGTTCGTGTATTCATTAAGTTTTAAGATCGTTTGCTCTCCATTTATTCATATATTTGTTTAAAAAATAAATAGATCAATAGCTTGTTATTGCTATTTTTAACATTAAATAGGCTACAGTTGCTGCTGTCCTAGGCATGCAGTTTCACAAAATCACCGTACGAGCAAAGAGACTTGGAGGCGGGTTTGGCGGAAAAGAAACCCGAACCTGCAGCCTTGCTGCTGCTTTGGCCGTTGCAGCTAGAAGGTATAGACATATTCATGGTAAAATTATTTCTTGAAAACCGAGCATGAACCCATACCCAGTCCCATACTGTAAAGCTGCTCATTTGGGGCCACACTAAGTCAAGTCTCTTTATGAGGCCTGGAGAGTGTAGTTGATCTGGTCTATAAGTAAAATCCTGACAGTTTTACTTCCAAGCGAGCGAACTACGTCAAGTTACTTAAGGTTGGTAGGCGAGTAAACCCACAACAAGCTACAGCTTTAATCTGATACGCATTTAAAGAAAATAATGTGTAAATCCTTTTTTGCAGAAGGGTCTCGTTAAAGGCATAATGACTTTCATGCTGTTACGTGATTGAATCATATTGATCCTAACTTTTTATGTAAATATTGTATTGCAATATTTATATGGATATAAGATGCAGCAAAACAATTAAAATTTGAAATTGACCTTATTTAGTGAAGAAACAGCTTCTATATAACATTTTTTTAATACCTACAATATGCTTGGCTTAGAGTTGGAAGACCAGTGCGAATTATGCTTGACCGCGATGAGGACATGTCGAGTACAGGAACCAGACATGCTTTTCTGGGACGTTACAAGGTTGGCTTTACTAATGATGGCAAGATACAGGCATTGAAGCTTGATATGTACAGCAATTGTGGGAACTCTACGGATAAGTCAACAAAAGTAAAGTATACTTCTTGCTGCAAAAGATAAAATGCTATGAAGCAACCAAACAGTGAATTTAATGAAGTTGGTTTAAGAAAAAAACCTTATATATGCTGGGAAATAATTAGTTTATATCTAGATACAAAATAGTTTACATCTTATTACTCTATAATAAATACTATCGAAGAGCCTGCCCTTCACCCCACCAAGTTTTTTTGAAAATCAGAAAGTTGGGTTCAAATTTAAGTTTGAATGTTCCATTTCCGCCCATCTAGAGTGCTATAGAAAAAAAAATGGTACCTCTGTCCCAACCATGGTGGGTCTGACACAATCTGGCTGACACAAATCACTTATTAAACTCCATCCCAGGCCCTTATTTCGAATTCCTGGATCTGCCACTGTATCATTATTTATTTCTTCTCAAGGTGATGGAACATGCGATGTTCCATCTGCAAAATGTTTACTACATCCCTAATGTGGAAGTACGAGGACATTGTTGCAAAACCAACATCCCTTCAAATACAGCTTTTAGAGGTTTTGGAAAACCTCAGTCGCAGCTGATTGCGGAGAACTGGATCTCGGACATTGCGTTGGCTTGTGGAATTTCTCAGAAAAAGGTATGGCCGCATAATAGTTACTAGTCACTGTCACTGTGTATAAGAGACAGTATATATATTTCTTTTTTGCATTTGACTTGTATAAATTTGTCCTATTTTAAACAATTTTATGTATGTTTGATATGGCAGATGTTAAATACATTGCCAGTTTAGATTACTTATAATGAATATGACAGTTAAGGCTTACGTAATTAGTTTTCTCATTATTTGTGTATTACAAATGACGATCATATTTTCTCTAAGGTGCGAGAAATTAACATGCTTCAGGATGGAGAGTCGACATACTTCAAACAGAAAGTTCAACAACTGGACAATGCAAAGAGGTGCTGGGACGAATGCCTGAATAAAAGTGGTTATGAAATGAGACAATTAAAAGTAGAGCTATTCAACAGGTTTGTGTTATATTAAAAGTACTAGAAACACAAGACCCTCCCCAGATAATCGATCCTTACCAACCGAACTTCGTAATACCTCATTCTCTCTGGTTAGGTGTGTCTAACTTGGTGTGTCAGTGCCTCGCTTAACTTAAAAATGTAAAAACGTTGATACTGTACTATCAGTTTCAATGCTTAGTTATCTTTAAATTGATTATTTATATAATGTATATGTATCTTTATACATATCACAATTACAAAATACTAGGCACTAGGTACGGTTTGTATATTGAATATATACTTGGAAACTAAATATAAGCCTATAAAACATTTAACTGAGGGAATATATATTTATATAACCCTAATGTATGTCATTCTTCTGGGGGAAACATAAGACGTTTATGTACTTATAAGGTTAGTTATAGAGTTACAATAATTACAAAACCAAAAACAATAATATTAATAATACAGATGACGATGGTGATGATAATAATTATTGCATATTACCGTACAATTTTATAGATCAAATAGATGGAAAAAGCGAGGATTATCAATAATTCCACTTTTATATGGAGTCGGCTTCCCTGATACAACAGCGAATCAGGTAGGCGTAGCATATTTCTGTTTTCTACTGTAGTCTTGCCTACATAATTATATTGCAATACAGTGATAATAATACTGTAAATAAATTCTGAGAATGACGAGGCCGCCGATTTTAAATTTGTCGAATTCTGTATATCATCCTTTAACTGGCTTCTACAGTTAATAAAGTAAAAAAAAAAACCGATCTCTTTACATCATCTTTTTTAAAGGGAGGGGCGTTAGTGATGATCTATACAGATGGCAGCGTCCTATTAGCACATGGTGGTATTGAGATGGGTCAAGGATTATACACTAAAATGATCCAAGTTGCAAGTCGAACGCTTGGGATTTCAACAAAGAAAATTTTTACCAACGAAACTTCAACAAATACAGTCCCAAATGCTTCACCAACGGCAGCGAGCATTAGCTCGGATCTAAATGGAATGGCAGTTCAGGTAAAATAAAATTTTTTCTATTTACAATTATTATCTAGGCATATGCACCACAGTAGCATGAGATTGAACAGGGGTCATAACATCCATAAGCATACCTTGTACTGTTGTACTTCTCAATTATAGATTTGCAATTTATAATATGCAGTTCAAATATTTTATTAGATTGCGTGTGAGAAGTTATACCAGAGACTTGCGCCTTACAGAAAAAGAGAGCCAAACAAAACATGGGATGACTGGGTGAGTTTTGTAGATCTTCAACTGAACATACAGTACTGCTCTTAAAGGTACACATGCCTTATCTTACCAACGCCAGCTCGCAGGAACAATCACTTTTGCAGAAACATGTCCCTGGGCTGCCCAACTTATTTGACTTAAATGTATTTAATAACTTTAATACCAACATAGCTAATGCGATACACTACATAGTTTGTTAGAGCAAACTATATAGATCTAGATGAAAATAAGCATTGAGATGTATGTGGTAAATCCTTGAACAATCACAAAAACAAAATTATTGAAAATGTTCATTTAGAAGAACCAAAAATGAATTGTTATCATTTACAAACAAGCATGAAACAGATTATCGAAATAGTATTACATTTTTGTATTATTTGTTTCTTAGGTTAAAGCAGCTTATTGTGATCGAGTTAGTTTGTCTGCCACTGGGTTCTACAAGTGAGTAGTACAATTTACTGAACTCACATGATTAACCCTCCAAAATAATTTCAATGGGCCTATGAAAAGAAACGCATATTAATAATTATTGCAATATGAAAAGTTATACATTAATAATTTGAATATAATGATGAATATAAATCTTGAGAGATATGAGCACTGTAAAACAGTAGGCTATTTAATAGCAAAGAGTATAAATAGAACAAGAGAGCCAACAACGCTCATTGAGAGCGTCAAAAAACGATACGCTCTACGCAGCTAGTGTAGCACGCCAACTAACGCTTGTATATGTTTTATTACCCAGTACTGCACCGCGCATGGTCGGTTTGTCTGTTCTCCACAAGATACGGTACTTTTGTTTTCTGCTTACTGAGTTTATAGCGGGCGTACTTCTACCGCGCTGCGCTGCGCTGCACTATGCAGTTTGAGGCCTACCCCATTTCATGTGTTACTAAAAAAAAAAAAAAAAAAAAAAACCGACCGACCAATTTACATTTAAGGGCAACACTACAATTTTTGTTTGGCCTAATGTGACTTTGTAGGCTAACCCTACAAATGTTAACTTTACACCTGTCACTAAAAGCGGGACAAGACTCTGCTGACGTTTGTGATTAAATACTAGCACTGTAAACACTGTTTTTTTACAGTAAAGTAATTAATAGAATAGATAAATATGATATATTAACTTTTGACTATTTTACAAAGGTCACCCAGCACTGCATTTGACTGGAAAACCAAATCAGGCAATCCATATTATTACTTCTCGTTTGGAGCAGCCGTGTCTGAGGTTGAGATTGATTGTCTGACTGGTGATCACATGGTTCTGCGGACTGACATTGTCATGGATGTTGGAGACAGTATCAATCCTGCCATTGATATTGGACAGGTAAATGGTTTTCCAACTTTTCAAAAAACAATAACTAATATGATTACATCATGGTTGATTGGTGTTTTTCCTTAGTGTAAAACAATTCACCTCCTGGATCTGAACAACTGACTAAACCCAACAGGATATAAAACCGCATGTCCCAAAATCACACAAATTTACCTTATCGGAACGGCCCTTTGACCCACAGTTGGGTAGTGAATTGGGCAGTATACTGGAAGACGATAATCTGCTATTTACGATAAGTGTACTACGATCTCGGACGTGAAGATAACCCAAATTTTACATAGCAAAACAACTTTAAGCCCTCTCCTGCTGGAATACAAGAAGAACAGTGACAGAATTCAAACAAAAACAGAAATCAAAGTTTAGAAGGCTGAACTATGCTGTCCTCCGAATTAAAAAGAATTTTACCAACTTAATTCGGACCGAGTAAATCTATGGCATTTGTCATAATTTTCTTAATATTCTGTTATACTATTCTGTATTTTATATAGCGCCTTTCTTTGCAGATACAAAGCGCTAGTACCCCACAATACACCTAGAAACCCACAGCAAGGGAAGCTGTAAAGAAAACCTTAAAATCACACTAAAAAATAATAACTGAATAAAGGACAATATGGAGGGGAAAAGACAGAGAAAAGATTATAAAAACAAAGTCTTTACGAAAGACTTACAAACAGCAACCAATGAAGAAGATCGAATGTGAGCAGATAGATTAATCAGCTTAAGTGGTACAATGCACATCCATAAGGTAATGTAAATATTTTATGGTATAATGTCAAATTAACTTTCCATAAAACAGGAGAAATCAAACTTTTGGTTAGGCAACGAATGTGAAGTACAGTAATACTCATATTCGTTTCCATAAGGTTGCCAAATATTCTTATAGAGACGTACAGAGAGAAGAAATTAATAGTGGGAAAGAAAGAATACAATTTGCTATGAAGGCATGCCATCATACACTCTACTTCTGTGATAATCAACAAGATGATTGTGGGAACTTACAACGATGAAGATGAAGCTTCACGCCTATAGAGCTTTTCAGAGTTTCAATGAAACTTAACAACTGACCAATCAGAGCTGATCCAGGAGTACGCATGCCTCACAGACTTTTACGTACAAGTTAACGCTGTCATTTTGAATGACCTTAGCAACAATCCAAAGTGTGGGCTAACCAGAACAGTTCAATTTTACATTCAATGTCATCGAGTATATAGAGAAGTATGGCTATGGTCCCTATGGTCATCGCAACCAATCAACACTGAAAAGCTAAGAATTTTTATAAATATTATATCTAATAAATGCATGCTCAAATCGTTCAGCTTCGAAGATAATGACCTTAAATCTCCAATTGATATCATTCATTAATTTTAGATTGAGGGTGCTTTTATACAAGGTTATGGGTTATTTACATTGGAAGAGCACCGCTGGAGTACCACTGGACATTTACTGACAAAAGGACCCGGATTTTATAAGATACCTGGCTTCACAGATATTCCTGTTGAATTCAACGTCTCTCTTCTGGATGGGGTGCCGAATAAAAAAGCAGTCTGCTCTTCTAAGGTACGATATTGGTACAACTTCATATAATCAAATTTATATTTACAAGCCATCAAAATATTTTCATCACTTAAAACGTTTATTATTATTGTTATTATTATTAAAAGAACTGGAGACCCATATCTCTTTTGAATGTGGACTACAAGATAGTAAATAAAGCTACTGTATATCTAACAGAATGAGAAATGTTTTAAGATCAGTTGTTTCCCATGATCAGACTGAATTTTTACCGAATAGATATATTGGGGAAAACGTTAAAGCCCCATTCCCGGCAAAATTTCACTAAAAACTGGCTTTTTTTAGAAAATATGCATTTGCATTACTCCAATTATTATAAATCATGGAAAAATATTGGCATGAATTTTAGTTTTACGCAAAAGAATAAAAAAAATGAGAAATACAGACTATTTCTCATAAAAGAATGTCTGTCTCTTATACACATCTAGATGTGTATAAGAGACAGGTGTTGGCCTATAATCATATTTAGCATCTATAAATTAATTTGGGTTAGATGAGAATTATTGGCATTAATAAAATGTAATACTATTGTAATTCAAATAAAGGCCTGAATTTGTATTTATTATTTTATTTAATGTAATTGGATAAGGTAAAAAAGATAGAATTTTCAATAGATCAATAAGTATAACTATATTTATAATTATTTATGTAACATTTAATTTTCTTAATATTAAAATAGTCTTTATATTCGTTAGAGGTTTGAAATGTCTTTCGATTGAAAATTACAGTATTATAAGGTTTTGGTCGCTGTCACCAGCTTTCAATTATAGTGCCGTCTCCAGTCATAGAAAACGGACCCATTATACATTATGTAACATGTCGTTTACCCCAATTAAATACTGTATAGACAAAGCATATGCGATAAATGTTATTTTTTGGCATATCTAATCGATATTAGTGAGTTTATAATGATCTCAGACACAGTAGTTATTACATTTTTGCATCCTTTTTCTTCAATATGACAATGATTTAAATAAACTAATGAGGTAGGTGACAAGGTGACACAATGTTTGTAGTTTGTTGTTCATTTCCATTTTGATACATAATCCAATTCCCATTATAAAATACACAAATAAATGCATAATAAAGTATAGCATGGACCTATTAAGATCTTATTATGAGTATAGTTTCAATGTTGTTTATAAATACACACATGTTAATGGCCGTTTCGGGTTTCTTTCTATATAATAAGCCGAAAAAATTCACTACCTTCCTAGGCCAATTATACTAGTTGCTTGGAACTATACTATTAACAAATATTGGAAAGAAACGTTCAATGGGTTCCCACGGTACTCACGTTGAAGCAGACACGCTCTTTGTACGCCGCCTTTAGGAATGTAGGCCAGATGCTAATAACATAGACGACTGTAGGGGCGGATTTAGGGGAGGGCGGCCCAGCCCCGGCCCCCACCCCATTTTGGGAGGTAAAGAAAAAAAGAAAGAAAAAGAAAAAAATGATAGCCCAGAACGCCTCAAATGTTATTTTCGGACAAAATAATATGAAAATATAGCATAAGAAAAATTGCCACTGATAAAAATACATAATTTTCACTGAATTTTTTAATCATTTATAATAAAACTTGCCACATAATATTGAACATTTTCACCATTATATAAATTATAAAATTAATTTTTAAAAAACGATAAAAATAATATAGATAATAAATACAATAATATGGCAAAATAATAATAACTAGAAATTATGTTCATGATATTATTAGTTTCTTTCACGTTTGAGAGTGTACAAAGGTACAGATCATTCCTGGTAAATTCCTATAAAAAATTAATATATTAATATACACGGTAATTACAATAATTCTAGTAATAATAATAATATAATAATAATAATAATAATAATAATAATAATACAGTAATAATAACGATAACAATATATATTAAAAACAAAAATAATACAAATATTATTTACCTAAAATAAACCATAATTAAGTTAGTAATAACTGTATATTATAAATCAGGAGGTTATAGTCGAGTAGGCCTGTAGAGGGACAAGTAAAGAGTGCAAAAAGAAACTTGTAGTAATTGTTTATAATAAAAACACGAATTAGTATTTTATACTAATAGCGAGGCCATTTATTCCCTCAAAACCAGTGTCCTAGTTAACTGTGGCCGAGTTGACTTGTGGCTGAGTTGGATCGAAATCGCCTGAAACTGCAGCTCCTATGAAAACCCTAGGCCTCAGGCCAGGGGGGGCTGATAGCTCGTAGTTTTATACCTCCTTGCTCGTAGCATGGAGGAATTAGCTAAACTTGGCTAAAACATGGAGGTATGGCTAAACTAATTCCTTCATGCTTGTAGGAAGGCACCACACACAGGGTTGCCAGATTGTCGACAGGCTTCACGGCCAAACACCCGACATCTCACGGCCAAATTCGGCCAAACTTTTTTTCAATATCGGCCAAAATTCGGCCAGATTTTAATCCGATTAGAAGACAGTTATGTGGGTACATATTCATTTGAAATACTGCAAAAATTACAGGAAAATCAGGGGCCGTTCGTTTGAAATTGAAGAAATTCAAATAATATACACAGAACAATGTTAAACTTCTTTTAAATTAATCTATCACCATAAAATACATGTCCCAGCTACATCATAATATTAAATAGCCTAGGCCTTATTTCTTTAGTTGCTGACGCCCGAAAATAACCTTATGCGTTTGGGCGATCAATTTTTCTTTTTTTCTTTTTTTTTTCACCACTCCCCACCCCCTCCCCAACCCTAAATCCGCTTCTGCTATTTAAAATCAGATCATTAAGATTGATCTAAATTGATTTAAATGTATTACATATTAACGTACATTGTAGTCGATCTATAGAAAACATTTTAAGGTCCTGTTATTGGTCAACCCGTTTCTCTCTTTAATTAGAATGAATTAAGTTACATAGTTAAGTAACACAAACTGGCGTTAAAACAAACCTATGATAACTTTAATAAATACTTTTTATCTAAACTTTCTAAATTCGCCTCTGAATGTTATTGTCGCAGTACTTAAAGCAATAAATCAAAATTATCTTCTTCATTCTCATATGCAACCTAACTCCAGCGTCTCTGCAACACTTGCTTGAAATTGGAGGTGCCATCGGCGACCCGGATAAGCACATCGAGCATTTATATATGGCGCTCTACAAAAAGAACACTGCAGCACCTAGGGCTATAAAATTCAAGTGGGCAATAATAAATCAATTAAGTACAGTACAGGTATTTAATTTATATTCAAAAGAAATTCAAAAGAGATAGAACCTCCACTAGAATGGAACATATACAAAGACACACAGTATGGTACAAACTTGCATTGAACTTCATAAAAAATATGTATTTCATCCGAACAATTTCAATTATTAAATGTAACTTATCTTTTAAATAAACTCTCTTACCTCACATCAGCTAAAGGGGGAACATAGATTAAGTGTTTAGTGCAAACAAAGGTACATGATTCAGGGGCGGATCCATGATTGGGAAGAGGGGGATTCAAAACGTTTCCAAAAATACCCAAAATGAAAGGGGGTCCGGGGTCCTCCCCATGGAAAATTTCCCCCTTGAATCCGCCACTGTATGTGGAATCCTTTAACGCTCAGGTGACCTAGGGTTTTAAAACAATACCGTATAGGCCTATACTCGCGTATAAACGAGGATTAAAATAGCAAACTACGATCGAAAAAGGGGGGGTCGTCTTATACGCACGACATTCAGATTTTAGATTTTTATATTCCTGTTCGTCTTATGTGCGGATGTTCGTCTTATGTGCGGATCGTCCGTAAATCTGGTTTTCTACTAGGCGAATTTATTCACGCGACTCCAAAGCGTCGGCTTATGCACATGCGCATTCACATTCCTATCG